AAGTCACCTACTACAGGACAGGCCTAACAAAGAAAATAACAGAACGCCACTAGCCGTCACCTTCAGCCCCCAACTAAAACCCCTCCAACGCATTATTAAGGATCTACAACCTATCCTGAAGGATGACCCAACACTCTCACAAATCTTGGGAGACAGGCCAGTCCTTGCCTACAGACAGCCCCCCAACCTGAAGCAAATACTCACCAACAACCACATACCACACAACAGAACCACTAACCCAGGAACCTATCCTTGCAACAAAGCCCGTTGCCAACTGTGCCCACATATCTATTCAGGGGACACCATCAAAGGGCCTAATAACATCAGCCACACTATCAGAGGCTCGTTCACCTGCACATCCACCAATGTGATATATGCCATCATGTGCCAGCAATGCCCCTCTGCCATGTACATTGGTCAAACTGGACAGTCTCTACGTAAAAGAATAAATGGACACAAATCAGATGTCAAGAATTATAACATTCATAAACCAGTCGGAGAACACTTCAATCTCTCTGGTCACGCAATCACAGACATGAAGGTCGCTATCTTACAACAAAAAAACTTCAAATCCAGACTCCAGCGAGAAACTGCTGAATTGGAATTCATTTGCAAATTGGATACTATTAATTTAGGCTTAAATAGAGACTGGGAGTGGCTCAGTCATTATGCAAGGTAGCCTATTTCCCTTTGTTTTTTTCTACCCCCCCCCCCCCCGGTCGTTCTGGTAAAACTTGGATTTATGCTGGAAATGGCCCACCTTGCTTATCATGCACATTGTAAGGAGAGTGGTCAGTTTGGATGAGCTATTGCCAGCAGGAGAGTGAGTTTGTGTGTTTCTGAGGGGGGGGGGGGCGCGGGGTGAGAAAACCTGGATTTGTGCTGGAAATGGCCCACCTTGATTTTCATACACATTGTGAGGAGAGTGGTCACTTTGGATGGGCTATTACCAGCAGGAGAGTGAGTTTGTGGGGGAAGGGGGGCGGAGGGTGAGAAAACCTGGATTTGTGCTGGAAATGGCCCAACTTGATGATCACTTTAGATAAGCTGTTACCAGCAGGAGAGTGGGGTGGGAGGAGGTATTGTTTCATGGTCTCTGTGTATATAATGTCTTCTGCAGTATCCACGGTATGCATCCGATGATGTGAGCTGTGGCTCACGAAAGCTCATGCTCAAATAGATTGGTTAGTCTCTAAGGTGTCACAAGTACTCCTTTTCTTTTTGCGAATACAGACTAACACGGCTGTTACTCTGAAACCTGTTCTTAAAACTAAGTCACTGCAAATATTCTTTTAAGTTGTTCGGAATTTCTTTTCATGTATGCTTTATAAAATGGAGGTAGTATAATACCTCCTCCGCAAAGTGAAAATTGCACTGAGATTTGCACATAAAGCAATTCAACATTCTGTATGAATATAACAAGTTCTCCCCGAACTCAAAGAACTTAATCTGTGCTCTGGTCTAGGTTAGCAACAGTGATACAAGCATAGAGAAGGCTTCTGGGAACACTGGTGTTTTCAAGTCCTTGCATGAGGTTAGACAAAGTGAGATTAAAAACCACCATCAGCCTCCAGAACTTAGTTTACACTAGCACTCCCACTACTGCTACCCTGGTGGAAATGCACCACTAAGAATCTTTTTATGAAATTCCCTAGTGCAAACAACACCTTGGTACAAAACAAAGTTCTGAGAGAGTTAACTAGTCAGTCTGCTAGTTTACAAATCAAACACCATGTTGTAGTCTATTTTAAGTTTATTAATGTGTTTTCCTTTAACAGTTTATCTATGAACTGAATATCACCACACAAGAGATGCTCCACAATGCAAGAACTTAAGTCCATTTCTAAACTTCATGTTTGTGAACAAATATCTTAAACACACAAGTTTAACCCAGTGATGTCATTTGTCCTGAGCTGCAGACAGCCTGAAACGGTCATTCATATGGATCAACTGCTCTGCCTCAGCATTGAGAATGCAAACCTAAAAATGACCACCATTTAGTGTCAACATCAACTATCTCACTGGGGATCGTTTTAGCAGACATCCAACTAATGCAAGAAATAGATTGGATGACTAATTTGCATGTAAAGTTGGAATTCAACCTTTTTATGCATGACTAATATAGCGTATCCCCTCCAAATTCACACACCTTCCAAATACAGAATGCATTCTCTGGGAATTTTAGTGAAAAATCCACACCGCTGAGCGACACAGTTACACTGACCTAACCTCCGCTGTAGACAATGCTTTTCCCATCAACATAACTATCGCTTGTGGAGGTGGATTAGCTATGCTGAAGGGAGACGCTAGTATGCTGAAGGGAGAGCATTTTCACTAGAGTGCCACAGTAGTGCAGCTGTGCTGCTGAAGCATTTCAAGAGTAGATAAGCGCTAAGCAACTGAAACCTTCTGAATGCCTTGTTGGCAAATTAACTTTTTATAGAGCCATTGACTCACTTGTAGATTACTCTTCAAACTTATTTCAGACAACTGATGTGCCAATTTGATTTGCAAATAAGCACTCATAACATTTCTATTCGTGATGCAGTATTTGCTGTGTTTTTCATATGAAGTATCTTACAACAGGATGTATAAAAACTGATATTTAAAAATATTTTTAAATACCAGATTTTTTTATTGAAAATGAATTTAATATAAATACAGAATTTAAAAATAAATCAAATTAAATTTTAAAATAACAGCCTATATTAAAGGCCTCATAACAATTTATTAAAATGATTTAAATTAGACAAAAATAATATTAGGCTGTACATGTTTACTGCCGAGTTTTAAAAGAAAGTCAAAACACTGAACTGGTGAAAGTCACTGGCTAAGCACTTGGAACCCGAGTTTGACAACATGCCAAACCAGATTTAAAAAGCAGAAGCTTCTTCAACAGATACTGAGGGTATGTCTACACTACGGAATAAGGTCGAATTTATAGAAGTCGGTTTTTTAGAAATTGGTTTTATATATTCGAGTGTGTGTGTCCCCACAGAAAATGTTCTAAGTGCATTAACTCGGCGGAGCGCTTCCACAGTACCGAGGCTAGAGTCGACTTCCGGAGCGTTGCACTGTGGGTAGCTATCCCACAGTTCCCGCAGTCTCCACTGCCCATTGGAATTCTGGGTTGAGATTCCCAATGCCTGATGGGGCTAAAACATTGTCGCGGGTGGTTCTGGGTACATATTGTCAGGCCCCCGTTCCCTCCCTCCCTCCGTGAAAGCAAGGGCAATCGTTTCGCGCCTTTTTTCCTGAGTTACCTGTGCAGATGCCATATCACGGCAAGCATGGAGCCCGCTCAGGTAACCGTCACCCTATGTCTCCTGGCTGCTGGCAGACGCGGTACGGCTTTGCTACACAGTAGCAGCAACCCATTGCCTTCTGGCAGCAGACGGTGCAATACAACTGGTAGTCGTCCTCGTCGTGTCCGAGGTGCTCCTGGCCACGTCGGCTGGGAGCGCCTGGGCAGACATGGGCGCAGGGACTAAATTTGGAGTGACTTGACCAGGTCATTCTCTTTAGTCCTGCAGTCAGTCCTATTGAACCATCTTATGGTGAGCAGGCAGGCGATACGGATTGCTAGCAGTCGTACTGTACCATCTTCTGCCGAGCAGCCATGAGATGTGGATGGCATGCAGTCCTTCTGCACCGTCTGCTGCCAGCCAAAGATGTAAAAGATAGATGGAGTGGATCAAAACAAGAAATAGATCAGATTTGTTTTGAACTCATTTGCCTCCTCCCCTGTTTAGGGGACTCATTCCTCTAGGTCACACTGCAGTCACTCACAGAGAAGGTGCAGCGAGGTAAATCTAGCCGTATCAATCAGAGGCCAGGCTAACCTCCTTGTTCCAATAAGAACGGTAACTTAGGTGCACCATTTCTTATTGGAACCCTCCATGAAGTCCTGCCTGAAATACTCCTTGATGTAAAGACACCCCCTTTGTTGATTTTAGCTCCCTGAAGACAACCCTGTAAGCCGTGTCGTCAGTCGCCCCTCCCTCCGTCAGAGCAACGGCAGACAATCGTTCCGCGCCTTTTTTCTGTGTGGACGCCATACCAAGGCAAGCATGGAGGCCGCTCAGCTCACTTTGGCAATTAGGAGCACATTAAACACCACACGCATTATCCAGCAGTATATGCAGCACCAGAACCTGGCAGAGCGATACCGGGTGAGGAGGCGATGTCAGCGCGGTCACGTGAGTGATCAGGACATGGACACAGATTTCTCTGAAAGCATGGGCCCTGCCAATGCATGCATCATGGTGCTAATGGGGCAGGTTCATGCTGTGGAACGCCAATTCTGGGCTCGGGAAACAAGCACACATGGGTGGGACCGCATAGTGTTGCGGGTCTGGGACGATTCCCAGTGGCTGCGAAACCTTCGCATGCATAAGGGCACTTTCATGGAACTTTGTGCCTTGCTTTCCCCTGCCCTGAAGCGCATGAATACCAAGATGAGAGCAGCCCTCACAGCTGAGAAGCGAGTGGCGATAGCCCTGTGGAAGCTTGCAACACCAGACAGCTACCGGTCAGTTGGGAATCAATTTGGAATGGGCAAATCTACTGTGGGGGCTGCTGTGATGCAAGTAACCCACGCAATCAAAGATCTGCTAATACCAAGAGTAGTGACCCTGGGAAATGTGCAGGTCATAGTGGATGGCTTTGCTGCAATGGGATTCCCTAACTGTGGTGGGGCCATAGACGGAACCCATATCCCTATCTTGGCACCAGAGCACCAAGCTGGCGAGTACATAAACCGCAAGGGGTACTTTTCAATAGTGCTGCAAGCTCTGGTGAATCACAAGGGACGTTTCACCAACATCAACGTGGGATGGCCGGGAAAGGTACATGACGCTCGCATTTTCAGGAACTCTGGTCTGTTTCAAAAGCTGCAGGAAGGGACTTTATTCCCAGACCAGAAAATAACTGTTGGGGATGTTGAAATGCCTATAGTTATCCTTGGGGACCCAGCCTACCCCTTAATGCCATGGCTCATGAAGCCGTACACAGGCAGCCTGGACAGTAGTCAGGAGCTGTTCAACTACAGGCTGAGCAAGTGCAGAATGGTGGTAGAATGTGCATTTGGATGTTTAAAGGCGCGCTGGTGCAGTTTACTGACTCGCTTAGACCTCAGCGAAACCAGTATTCCCACTGTTATTACTGCTTGCTGTGTGCTCCACAATATCTGTGAGAGTAAGGGGGAGACGTTTATGGTGGGGTGGGAGATTGAGGCAAATTGCCTGGCTGCTGGTTACACGCAGCCAGACACCAGGGCGGTTAGAAGAGCACAGGAGGGCACGGTATGCATCAGAGAAGCTTTGAAAACCAGTTTCATGACTGGCCAGGTTACGGTGTGAAAGTTCTGTTTGTTTCTCCTTGATGAAACCCCCCGCCCCTTGGTTCACTCTACTTCCCTGTAAGCTAACCACCCTCTCCTCCTCCCTTGGATCATTGCTTGCAGAGGCAATAAAGTCATTGTTGCTTCACATTCATGCATTCTTTATTCATTCATCACACAAATAGGGGGATGACTACAAAGTAGCCCAGGAGGGGAAGTGGAGGAGGGAAGGAAAATGCCACACAGCACTTTAAGCACAGCACTTTAAAAGTTTACAACTTTAAAATTTATTGAATGACAGCCTTCTTTTTTTTGGGCAATCCTCTGTGGTGGAGTGGCTGGTTGGCCGGAGGCCCCCCCACCGCGTTCTTGGGCGTCTGGGTGTGGAGGCTATGGAACTTGGGGAGGAGGGCGGTTGGTTACAGAGGGGCTGCAGTGGCAGTCTGTGCTCCAGCTGCCTTTGCTGCAGCTCAACCATACACTGGAGCATACTGATTTGGTCCGCCAGCAGCCTCAGCATTGAATCCTGCCTCCTCTCATCACGCTGCCGCCACATTTGAGCTGCAGCCCTCTCTTCAGCCCGCCACTTACTCTCTTCAGCCCGCCACCTCTCCTCCTGGTCATTTTGTGCTTTCCTGCACTCTGACATTATTTGCCTCCACGCATTCGTCTGTGCTCTGTCAGTGTGGGAGGACAGCATGAGCTCAGAGAACATTTCATCGCGAGTGCGTTTTTTTTCTTTCTAAGCTTCACTAGCCTCTGGGAAGGAGAAGATCCTGTGATCATTGAAATACATGCAGCTGGTGGAGAAAAAAAAAGGGACAGCGGTATTTAAAAAGACACATTTTATAAAACAGTGGCTACACTCTTTCAGGGTAAACCTTGCTGTTAACATTACATACATAGCACATGTGCTTTCGTTACAAGGTCGCATTTTGCCTCCCCCCACCGCGTGACTACCCCCTCAACCTTCCCCCCTCCCTGTGGCTAACAGCGGGGAACATTTCTGTTTAGCCACAGGCAAACAGCCCAGCAGGAATGGGCTCCTCTGAGTGTCCCCTGAAGAAAAGCACTCTATTTCAACCAGGTGACCATGAATTATATCTCACTCTCCTGAGGATAACACAGAGAGATAAAGAACGGATGCTGTTTGAATGCCAGCAAACATACACTGCAATGCTTTGTTCTACAATGATTCCCAAGTATGTGTTACTGGCCTGGAGTGGTAAAGTGTCCTACCATGAAGGACGCAACAAGGCTGCCCTCCCCAGAAACCTTTTGCAAAGGGTTTAGGACTACATCTAGGAGAACCGCGAATGCCAGGGCAAATTAATCCTTTCACATGCTTGCTTTTAAACCATGTATAGTATTTTAAAAGGTACACTCACCAGAGGTCCCTTCTCCGCCTGCTGGGTCCAGGAGGCAGCCTTGGGTGGGTTCGGGGGGTACTGGCTCCAGGTCCAGGGTGAGAAACAGTTCCTGGCTGTTGGGAAAACCGGTTTCTCTGCTTGCTTGCTGTGAGCTATCTACAACCTCATCATCATCATCTTCTTCTTCGTCCCCAAAACCTGCTTCCGTATTGCCTCCATCTCCACTGAAGGAGTCAAACAACACGGCTGGGGTAGTGGTGGCTGAACCCCCTAAAATGGCATGCAGCTCATCATAGAAGCGGCATGTTTGGGGCTCTGACCCGGAGCGGCCGTTCGCCTCTCTGGTTTTCTGGTAGGCTTGCCTCAGCTCCTTCAGTTTCATGCGGCACTGCTTCGGGTCCCTGTTATGGCCTCTGTCCTTCATGCCCTGGGAGATTTTGACAAAGGTTTTGACATTTCGAAAACTGGAACGGAGTTCTGATAGCACGGATTCCTCTCCCCAAACAGCGATCAGATCCCGTACCTCCCGTTCAGTCCATGCTGGAGCTCTTTTGCGATTCTGGGACTCCATCATGGTCACCTGTGCTGATGAGCTCTGCATGGTCACCTGCAGCTTGCCACGCTGGCCAAACAGGAAATTAGATTCAAAAGTTCGCGGTTCTTTTCCTGTCTACCTGGCCAGTGCATCTGAGTTGAGAGTGCTGTCCAGAGCGGTCACAATGGAGCACTCTGGGATAGCTCGGGGAGGACAATACCATCGAATTGTATCCACAGTACCCCAAATTCGAGCCAGCAACGTCGATTTAAGCGCTAATCCACTTGTCAGGGGTGGAGTAAGGAAATCGATTTTAAGAGCCCTTTAAGTCGAAATAAAGGGCTTCATTGTGTGGACAGGTGCAGGTTTACATCGATTTAACGCTGCTAAATTCGACCTAAAGTCCTAGTGTAGACTAGGGCTGAGAAAATATTTTCTTCATTTCATTTAACTACTTAAAATTCAGTGACTACTTCATCCAAAGTTAAGAAACCCATTAGGAATTAAAAAAAAAAGATCAGGAAGGTTTGTTTTACTCTTCCAATCTAGGAATAAAACTAGGTGTGAGAAGAAAAGATCTACAAGCGCTAAAGTCCTGAAGGTTGCAGTGACAAAAGGACACAGTTAAATTCATTTACTACAAGTAATACTTTGTTTTATTTAAAAAAAAAATCAGTTTTAAAGGCAAAACATGTTTTGATAAGGAAGAAAGTTTATGTATCCACCACATTTAAGGCAGTTTTATTTAAAATGTCACTTGTGTATTTTAAACTGAATTTCAAATTTCAATCCAGCTAGAGCTTGATACAAATTGCTAGTAAAAAAAATTAATCACCTAATAAATAGAAAATGGTGAATGGTACATTTCTTAACACAATAAAAAATGTAACACTTAATATTCTAAATAAATGTGAGTTAAACTATGCAACTTCTTAGATAAATGTATCCAGACAGATATAGTGTATCCTAGTAAGCAAAAGGAAGCAAACACATTTAGCGTAAAGGCTCTGTTTATTTGCCAACAACACGTTTTAATGGTTGCTAACTAATAAGAATCATCCTTTCTTTAGGAAAATTAAGTAAATGCAGAACACAACTGAAAATTGATTTAAATCAGTCTACCCTGTTTTATGAATATTTTTACACCATATAACTGATCCTACTTCAAGAGTTTTCACTGGAGAATAGGATGTACACCATAAATTGGCACAGTAAGCTGCCTATTGGGAACCCAATGGAGAACAGATCAATCTACGCTTAAAAAGCTGCAGCAATGCAGCTGTACCTCTGTAGCGCTTTAGTGAAGATGCTACTGCGCCAACAGGAGAGTGTCTCCTGTTGTCATAGTTAATCCATCTCCATGAGAGGAGGTAGCTATGGGCAGGTCTACACTAGAAGCACTATACTGGCGCAGCTCTGCACCACTGTGTTGCATCTGGTGAAGATGCTCTATGCCGACAGGAGAGCGCTCTCCCATCTACATATGATTCAGTGTTTGCTGGCTAAACTAAAAAGAAAGACCCACTCCTAGAACTCGTCTCAAGTCCCTCCTATAGATTTCCTATGTTCTGCTCCCTCATTACACAGAGGCACAATGGTAACTCAAACCCCCCAATACCGTATTACTAATAAGTGACAGGTCTATTAAGTTATTATCTCAGCACCTGCTCATGCCATACACCAGACACACCAAGATAATCAGACCTAGGGACCTAAAGTTAGGCTTTTAAGTCTGTAATTCTGCAACTGCCAGATTTCAAGAATGATGAATATCTAATACCTCCCTCTGACCTCAATGGGACTTCAAATCTGAAAGTCAATGCTGGAATGTCCACACCAAATTTCAACTACCTTGACCTCCCTTTTTGCTGAAAAGCATGACATTTGTTTACATGCATTTCTTTTTACATGAAAAGCAAACTGTAAGTACAGGAATGTTATGCCTCACAACATAGCCTTCCCAGCCCACAACATGAGGGTACTGGATAAACACACTTTTGAAACCAAACTGGCAACTAAACAACCCTGTTTATAAACGGTTTTCTAGAATAGTACTAATCCTTTCAGATTTTCATGAAGTCAGGGCCTCAGATTCCACTACCATAAAAATGCCTTTATTCTTTGTCACCCTCCCATTCCTGCAGTATTGTATTGCCAATAAGAAAAAAAAAAAAATCAATGGTCCTACAGATTTCCTGTTTCCCCTCAGTCTGAGCTCTGACCAGATATATTTATTTCCCTGCCTTGGTCTCTGCTCCACTCCTTTAAATACTCCACCTAACAGTACTTCAGAGACCAGGGTTCTAATATATTTCTCTTTGCTACCCACACACTGAATAGAGCTAGAAAAAGCAAAGCAAGTAATAAGGTTTCACAGGAGTAAGCCTCTAGACCAGATAGGTCAGGCACCCAAAGATCACGTGGTCGTTTTAGTGAAGAGCATATTGACAGCTTGTTCTGTGAGTATGGTCATCACGAAGCTCTCTCTCTCAGAAAGGCTGTCCGCAAAACAAGCTACATTAAAGTTAAAATCTAGACTGTAAACTATTAGGCAAAAGACCATAGCACCCTGGTTATCCCCAGGCCCACCATTAATGAGAAGCATCTGTTTTATATGTTTGTGGAGCTGAAGGGAATCTAGACCTTCCAGGTTACATTACTCCTTTTAACCGTCACCAACACATGAGCAGTGTACACTATGAGCAGGCCATGAAGAGAGGTATTCACAATCTGTTAACATCTTGCAAGACTATTTAACACAAAGTAGGAGTATCCTTGCTGCCATACAAGCATTTTCCTTGAGACAAAACATTCACAGAATTCATGGAAAGTGAACCTGCATTGAAAATGCCATTGTTCCATTTCACATAGAAGCTTTAAAGATTAAAGTCTGTACTTCCCAGACTTTTTTTTTTTTTTTTTAAATTAGCAGTGGAGCCAATTTTAACCTGAACGTTCCAAATGTATTAAGGTAAGTGCTGCTCAATCGGCCATTTGCCCATGATGGAAAACAGTTTTAATAAAATAGTAATTCTGGCATAAAAATTCATTTCAAATATTACTATTTGTATTATTGTAGCACCTAGGAAGCCCATTCGGACCAGAACCCCATTGTGCTAGGTGCTGTACAAACATATCTGGCTCAAAAGTGGTTTATAAATAGCCTTTTCAGTTAAAACAGCTAATTACATATTCTACTGGTTAATCTCAAAATTAAACACTCAGTAATAGTTTAAAAATCTCACCTACCAGCAACAAAATATTTTCAAATAGACTACTGACCAGAGTTAAACACATCATAAACCTGCCAACTGTAATTTTTATATCTATAAAAAAAAATTCCTTCTAAGGGTATTTTTCTGAGCAATCTAACAAATTAAGAATCTGCAAAAATTTCAACAGAAGAGCCGTTTGTTCTACTCTGGTCTTTCAACTCTAAGGAACAGTTGAGAACTATCAGTTTTTAGCTCACTCATATTAAGCCTGTATTTAATCTGTTGCTAGTGTATAGTGATGACTAAATAAAAAATGGAAATATAACAAGACCTGAAATCATTTATGAACAGTTGAATTGTTGTATTGTTTTTCTGACAAGGAAGCAAGTCAGCTGCTGTCACACAAACGTACTGCTGAATACATTCAAATACTTGAACAACTATGCAGTCTGTAAATGTTTTAGGATATAGTTAAAGAAACACTAAAAACATCACTTTGTTGCCTTTTTGTTTTTGAATATGCTATTAAGAGTAGCAGAAACTGCCATTTACTGTATGTTTGGACAGTGCCTAATAAATGGTACCCTGACCTCCTGAAACCTCACGCCACTACTGCAATTAACCATAATCATTACCATCACTACCTACATTTACTGCAAGATTAGGAAAATAGCTCTAATTTTCTCAGTGTCTTTTTGGGATTTGAAAGCATTTTATCTAATGAGTATCATTTTTTGCCCTGGATAGTTAATTTCCCCTTCAGAAATATAGTTTGTTCAAAAGGAAACAGGGCAAAGAGAAAGCGCATTTTAAATACAGAAAGAAGGCCCCCATCCTCCCATGTGCAAGTATTTGTGAGATAGCGGCATCCACTCCAAGCCCCATTACCATCAGTGGGACGCCCACACAAGTGCAGCAGTCTGCTCTCCAGCAAAAAGGTCCAGGACAGTCGCATGGTTCAGAGATAAGTGGTACCTGAATCAATTATATCTTGTGTACATTTACGGATATTCATAATTTCTTACCCTCAGTGTTGCCAGCACCAGTGGAAGAAATTCTGAAAACAATCAGTAAAGGTTTATTCGTAGTTGTTCCTGCTCTGAACAATTTAGTATCTAGTACTTATGAAGACTGAATTCACAGAGCTGTTTCTGTAGAAAAAATGTACAGACTTCTTCCAGGAAACAGTTTTTATTGATAGATGGGGAGGTCAAAGAAAAAGTCAATCTGTTGTCTTATACTTAGACAGCAAGATATTTGGAGCAGGGACTGGGGCTTTTTTAAGTTTGTTTTTTGTTCTGAGATTGTATAGCATCTAACACAACGGTGTCCTGGTCCATAATAATAGTAGTAGAAATAATGAAACATGCGGATTAATTTCATAGTTATTCAAATGGACTTGAAACGTGTCCAGCTTGGTAGAATGAAGTGGTCAGCTTCAGGATCTGGTGGATAAGCTAAGGAATTGCTACAGAATCATAGAATATCAGGGTTGGAAGGGACCTCAGGAGGTCATCTAGTCCAACCCCCTGCTCAAAGCAGGACCAATCCCCAACTAAATCATCCCAGCCATGGCTTTGTCAAGCCTGACCTTAAAAATATCTAAGGAAGGAGATTCCACCACCTCCCTAGGTAATGCATTCCAGTGTTTCACCACCCTCCTAGTGAAAAAGTTTTTCTTACTATCCAACCTAAACCTCCCCCACTGCAACTTGAGACCATTACTCCTTGTTCTGTCATCTGCTACCACTGAGAACAGTCTAGATCCATCCTCTTTGGAACCCCCTTTCAGGTAGTTGAAAGCAGCTATCAAATCCCCCCTCATTCTTCTCTTCTGCAGACTAAACAATCCCAGTTCCCTCAGCCTCTCCTCATAAGTCATGTGTTCTAGGCCCCTAATCATTTTTATTGCCCGCCGCTGGGCTCTTTCCAGTTTTTCCACATCCTTCTTGTAGTGTGGGGCCCAAAACTGGACACAGTACTCCAGATGAGGCCTCACCAATGTCGGATAGAGGAGAACGATCACGTCCCTCGACCTGCTGGCAATTCCCTTACATATACATCCCAAAATGCCATTGGCCTTCTTGGCAACAAGGGCACACTGTTGACTCATATCCAGCTTCTCATCCACTGTAACCCCTAGGTCCTCTTCTGTAGAACTACGGCTGAGCCATTCGGTCCCTAGTCTGTAGCATGGGATTCTTCTGTCCTAAGTGCAGGACTCTGCATTTGTCCTTGTTGAACCTCATCAGATTTCTTTTGGCCCAATCCTCCAATTTGTCTAGGGCCCTCTGTATCCTATCCCTACCCTCCAGCGTATCTACCTCTCCTCCCAGTTTAGTGTCATCTGCAAACTTGCTGAGAGTGCAATCCACACCATCCTCCAGTTCATTTATGAAGATATTGAACAAAACCGGCCCCAGGACTGACCCTTGGGGCACTCCACTTGACACCAGCTGCCAACTAGACATGGAGCCATTGATCACTACCCGTTCAACCCGACAATCTAGCCAGCTTTCCATCTACCTTATAGTCCATTCATCCAGCCCATACTTCTTTAACTTGCTGGCAAGAATACTGTGGGAGACAGTGTCAAAAGTTTTGCTA